GGGGAAACGAGGAGGAGTGAGAAGCGGCGCGCTGCCGCCCCTCGACACAGGGAAGGCAGGGAGGGGCAGGCGAGGGTGGGAGGGGAGGCAGAGACCTGGGAAGACCAGAGACAAGGAGGCAAGAGTGCATGCCATGGAGGCGTGGCAGGGAGGGGTGACCTAGGCGGTGGTGCCAAAGGAGAGTCTGGAGCAAATGGAGGTGACACAAACAAGGGGCTGCTAGCTGACTTGACGTGGACGCAGACGCAGCTACCTGAGGAGGCTCAGTAGTTAGTCTGTACAGGCTCGACCCAGGCCGACGGTGAACGTGGCCAGGTGACGGCACGTCCGTGCACACGTGCAGATCGCCACACGCTGTCCTTAAGGGATAAAGGTATCAACCCAAGCATCCTGAAGGACGGCGTTACTCACCAAGTTCGTAGAGAACGAGGGGAGGTGAAGACCTGGCAGTGAGCCAGACGGAAACGCCGGACACGGGAGAACAGTGAAGGAACGTGCACGAACTGGTCCCCTCGAGGGGTCAGCCAGAGAGACTGCAACCGGTGCTGCGAGTGGTGTGACTGTAGTGTCGCGCAAAAGAAGCAGCGGGAAGCACCTGAGTCAAGCGTGAAGGTGTGCAAGGCCTCAGCAGGCACAGTACCAGAGAGAGCAGACTCACCAGCACCTAGAGTAGACTCACCAGCACCTAGAGAAGACTCACCAGCACCTAAAGCAGTAGGCGCTATACTAGGGTCGGGCGGCACACACGGGTAACAGTCACCCTGAGTACTAATAGTCAAAGCTGCCAGTGAGGATAATGTCATAGTCTAGAGCAAAGATATCCACCTTGTTCCGAAGCAGCTCTAGCCAGCGGGGGAGCTCAGCCTCATCGCCAAACAATGCACGCCAGGCGTCGCTCAGACAAGCGAAGCAGCGAGCCTGTGTGTGACCAACTGTATCTCAAGTCTGACCAGCCCGATCACCTGTGCGTATCAAGTGGATAGTACTCCAAGTCCCCCCACTCTGAGCGTATCACTCAGAAAGCTACTGGGGCATAAGGGTCTTGCGCGGACCCCGCTGCAGCTGCATCTGGCCACCACCAGAAACTCCGCACTGAACAGCTCCACCGCAACTTCTACTACGGCCGCCGCCACCACACCTACTGGCGTACCACTCACGAAGCTGCTGGATCGTAAGGGTCTCGCGCGGACGCCGCTGCAGCTGCATCTGGCCACTGCCAGAAACTCCCCACCGAACAGCTCCGCAGCAACTGCTACTACGGCCGCCACCACCGCCGTCACCACTCCCACCGCTACTACGAAGTGAAGCCGTAGCGGGCAAGCAAGGAGGCGCGCGACCAGTAGGGCAGTACGGAGGGAAGGTAGTAGCACTAGCAGCAGGAGCAGCAGTAAGAGAAGCAGAGCGGCTCGGGGAGGCTAGGCTGCAGCACCTCTAGCACTCCTAGCAGCACCTCCAGCACTCCTAGCAGCACCTCCACCATTAGCTACAGTAGCACGAGCAGCAGGGCGGATCGGGTTGGGCAGGGCGGCTCGGGCTGGGCGGCGCGGCTCGGCCTGGGCAGCGCGGGCAGCAGGGCGCGCGATGTGCAGGGCAGCAGGGCGCGACGCGCGGGCTGCAGCAGGGCGCGACGCGCGGGCTGCAGCAGGGCGCGACGCGCGGGCTGCAGAAGGGCGCGACGCGCGGGGCAGCAGGGCGCGACGCGCGGGCTGCAACAGAGCGCGACGCGTGGGGCAGCAGAGCGCGACGCACAAGCTGCCGTAGGGCGTGACGCGCAGGTTAGCAGGGTGCGACGTGCGGGCTGCAGCAGGGCGCAACGCGCGGAGCAGTAGAGCGCAACGCGCGGGCTGCAGCAGGGCGCGACGCGCAGGGCAGCAGGGCGCGGGCTGCAGCAGGACGCGGGGCAGGGGAGGGCGTGCGCGAGGCAGCGCGACGCGGGGCAGGGCAGGGCGTGCGCGGGGCAGCGCGACGCGGGGCAAGGCAGGGCGTGCGCAGGACAGCGCGACGCGGGGCAGGGCAGGGCGTGCGCGAGGCAACGCAACGCGGAGCAGGGCAGGGCGTGCGCGGGGCAGCGCGACGCAGGGCAGGGCAGGGCGTGCGCGAGGCAGCGCGATGCGGGGCAGGGTAGGGCGTGCGCGGGGCAGTGCGACGCAGGGCAGCGCGACGCGGGGCAGGGCAGCGCGACGCGGGGCAGGGCAGGGCGTGCGCGGGGCAGCGCGACGCGGGGCAGGGCAGGGCGTGCGCGGGGCAGCGCGACGCGGGGCATGGCAGGGCAGGGCGCGCGCTGACGGCGCAGCACAGGGCAGGGCGTGGGGTAACGCGGTAACTGCAGTCGGTCAGTAGGTAATAGTGGGCCCGAAAAAAAAAAAAACGGTCCTACGGACCTACTGCTCCGAAACCATGTCAGAAACTAACGAGCATGAATGAATGCATTAGTCAGAAATGTGGTACAAGTACTAACCCTAATTGGGTTGTACCGCATATAGGCTATCCCTCTACAACCTACACAACACAACATTAAAGTTTGACAGTTCCTAGCTGCTCTACCTACGACATGTTGCAGATAAGCATGCCGTACGCCATGAGCGATTCGCTGTAGCACTGCGCTCTGACGTCGTCGGTGTCAGCCGTAAGTCTCGCGTAACTCCCGTCGAAATAGTTAAAAATCTCATTTTGTAGCAACAGATCTAGCTCGAAGCTCTAGGCGTAGAAGTCTTTGCCGTCAAAACATGCATCTGTCTTTATTTTTTATATGCTCAAAAACCTTGATTGCGCTGAGAGAATTGCTTCATCTCTCAGATAGGGAGTCTTGGGAGTTGAACCATTTGTTTTGGGGGAGAAGGTGTGCGGGGCGGTATCACGACCATTGCGACCGGCTGAGAGTCGCAACAGCTCTAGGATTCCCGTAATGTATGGAGCCTTTGTTCCAGAGTCGAGAGTCGCTGAAGCAATAGTTCGAGTGCGATGGTACTAATCGTCGTCGTCTCCTCGTTTGTCGCAGCCCAGTTGGTCTGCGCTTCAGCGTCAGATTTGCCTGACCTCCAGATCGTCCGGCCATTGTTACGCGATTGTACAGAGATTTTTTCACAGGGTCAAGGATGGTTTGAGCTAGAAAAAGAGAAGCATAAGACCATTTGCGATTTCCTCTCGATTGCGAAAATTGTAACATGTAAGCGAGCCCCGCCAGGAGTTTCGCTTTGAGGACGCGGCAAAACTAGGCGATCAATTGTCTATCACGGTGTTGTGCAGAGAAGTTACAAAATTAACTAGCGTGTAATCATGCTACAGTTATTAAGGTTTTTGTCATTGAATAGTGCACAGTAAGGGAATGTCACCGGAGATCAGATCACAACTTAGGAAGTGGAGAATCGATCGCCCCAGGTTCGTTTTTAGCGCGGTTATAAACGCGGGGTTTCAGTGTGGTGACCGGGTCGTTCTCCTCCCGACCGAGCACTTTTACTGCGTTCCTAGTGGCGATCGTTACAACGACGTTTGCGCATCGTTTCGCCAATCGATCCGCTAAATCGATCGAGCGACTCGATTTTCGGGCACGATCCTGCGATATTCGCAATTGTACCGCGTCCTGAGTCAGTCATTTCGAATGTTGGGGTTGTGCGTGATGGAAATTTTCTACGAGTCTAGTAGGTTTCGGTAACCTCGTGCTAGACATGGCAGCCTGTCGCGCCGGCACCTAGTGGTAGAGAGTTTCGCATCACACGTGTGCGTATGATGCTTTCCCATGTGCCCAACTGCCAATGCTGCCACGCTTTGTTGACTCAACAACGAAAGAAGATACTGTATGTGTGGGGCCACTGCACATCACAGTGCGGGTGCAGACTCAACTGCCGGCCCGCCACTGATGGTGAAACACTTTGCGGGCCCGCCAGGCAATCACAGGGTGCTTCCGAGAATGCAAGGGGAAGACAGTCCGCGAGGCTTCCACGACGGTGGCGCTTCTTTGCAGCCCCGCCAGGCAAACTCGGATCTAACTAGCCTCGCGTCACGGCCGCGCCGGCGGGGGAAGCGTCGCTGCGCGGGCAACATAAGCGGAATGGCAACTAAGCAGCGTCCATCTCTCCACAGCCATGACGGGGTGGAGCCAAGCAAGCCCGGTGGGGCCCTCGGTGCAGGACGGACTCCTCTCGGTTACCTTGTTTTATTCTGCCGCATCTGCGCACATGATGGCCTTCATGTTCATCTTTTCATCTCTCAGTTCCACCAGAAGCAGAAGCAGAATCACCAGTAGCTCTACCCCGACAAGCCTTATCGCTAAGAATCCCGTAAAATCTCATCTGGAGCTTAGTTCACGTTGATCGTTCCCATTAGCGTCAACATTGATCTCAGCCGGGCCGTACTAGTCGTAAACCTGCGCCCAGCTGGTCGCCCAGCCCGTCGCCCAGCCCGTCGCCCAGCTCGTCGCGCCCGTCGCCCTGCTCATCGCCCAGCTCGTCGCCCAGCTCGTCGCGCAGGTCGTCGCCCAGCTCGTCGTCCAGCTCGTCGTCCAGCTTGGCAGTCCGCGGGCCCGTCGCTGGGGGAGCAAGGACGGCGTCATTCCCACGGGCAAAACGGAGCGACGACGAGTTCATCCGCCTGAGACACACAGCCAAGCTGCGTTCTCGCACTTTTTGCTGCCATTGCTGGACTAAATTGCTCGTCAGTCGTTACCTGCTGTCCTTGAGCTTCGCGCGTGCCGCCAACTGATACTAGCCTTCGCGCGTGCCGCCAAGTGATACTAGCCTTCGCGCGTGCCGCCAACTGATACTAGCCTTCGCGCGTGCCGCCAAGTGATACTAGCCTTCGCGCGTGCCGCCAAGTGATACTAGCCTTCGCGCGTGCCGCCAAGTGATACTAGCCTTCGCGCGTGCCGCCAAGTGATACTGGCCTTCACGATCAACCTCCTTGCTACGTGTTCGCACTCCGAAAACGAGTCGTTTTTGCTTCGCATCGCATTCCACTTGACGACCCGCTTTTTCTTCGACAGTAGTGGAAGTCTCGTTCTCAGCATGGAGCGGCCGTACCAGGGCGGCAGCGCGGCGGCGTGCGCGGAGGAAGGCGGCAGGAAAGGCGAGACCTTTGACGACGCCACCGCGGAGAACCTCCTGGCGAAGCTTCGTCTGAAGTTCCGGTCGGGCGAGACGCGGAGCTTGGCGTGGCGCGAGCAGCAGCTGCGCAATGTGGTGCGCATGGCGGAGGAGCACGAGGACGACATGATGGCGGCGCTCAAGGCGGATCTAGGCCGCGGCCGCATGGAGGCTCTCATAGAGGTGTGGCAATGGGTGTGGGGCGTTGATAAAGAGAGAGTGCGCATGTGATGCTTGTGTGGTGCGCATGGCGGAGGAGCACGAGGACGACATGATGGCGGCGCTCAACGCCGACCTGGGACGCGGCCGCATGGAGGCCCTCATAGAGGTACGGCGTCTGATGGGCGGTGGGCATCTGGTGCGCGATGGGCGTCTGATGGGCGGTGGGCATCTGGTGCGCGATGGGCGTCTGATGGGCGGTGGGCATCTGGTGCGCGATGGGCGTCTGATGGGCGGTGGGCATCTGGTGCGCGATGGGCGTCTGATGGGCGGTGGGCATCTGGTGCGCGATGGGCGTCTGATGGGCGGTGGGCATCTGGTGCGCGATGGGCGTCTGATGGGCGGTGGGCATCTGGTGCGCGATGGGCGTCTGATGGGCGGTGGGCATCTGGTGCGCGATGGGCGTCTGATGGGCGGTGGGCATCTGGTGCGCGATGGGCGTCTGATGGGCGGTGGGCATCTGGTGCGCGATGGGCGTCTGATGGGCGGTGGGCATCTGGTGCGCGATGGGCGTCTGATGGGCGGTGGGCATCTGGTGCGCGATGGGCGTCTGATGGGCGGTGGGCATCTGGTGCGCGATGGGCGTCTGATGGGCGGTGGGCATCTGGTGCGCGATGGGCGTCTGATGGGCGGTGGGCATCTGGTGCGCGATGGGCGTCTGATGGGCGGTGGGCATCTGGTGCGCGATGGGCGTCTGATGGGCGGTGGGCATCTGGTGCGCGATGGGCGTCTGATGGGCGGTGGGCATCTGGTGCGCGATGGGCGTCTGATGGGCGGTGGGCATCTGGTGCGCGATGGGCGTCTGATGGGCGGTGGGCATCTGGTGCGCGATGGGCGTCTGATGGGCGGTGGGCATCTGGTGCGCGATGGGCGTCTGATGGGCGGTGGGCATCTGGTGCGCGATGGGCGTCTGATGGGCGGTGGGCATCTGGTGCGCGATGGGCGTCTGATGGGCGGTGGGCATCTGGTGCGCGATGGGCGTCTGATGGGCGGTGGGCATCTGGTGCGCGATGGGCGTCTGATGGGCGGTGGGCATCTGGTGCGCGATGGGCGTCTGATGGGCGGTGGGCATCTGGTGCGCGATGGGCGTCTGATGGGCGGTGGGCATCTGGTGCGCGATGGGCGTCTGATGGGCGGTGGGCATCTGGTGCGCGATGGGCGTCTGATGGGCGGTGGGCATCTGGTGCGCGATGGGCGTCTGATGGGCGGTGGGCATCTGGTGCGCGATGGGCGTCTGATGGGCGGTGGGCATCTGGTGCGCGATGGGCGTCTGATGGGCGGTGGGCATCTGGTGCGCGATGGGCGTCTGATGGGCGGTGGGCATCTGGTGCGCGATGGGCGTCTGATGGGCGGTGGGCATCTGGTGCGCGATGGGCGTCTGATGGGCGGTGGGCATCTGGTGCGCGATGGGCGTCTGATGGGCGGTGGGCATCTGGTGCGCGATGGGCGTCTGATGGGCGGTGGGCATCTGGTGCGCGATGGGCGTCTGATGGGCGGTGGGCATCTGGTGCGCGATGGGCGTCTGATGGGCGGTGGGCATCTGGTGCGCGATGGGCGTCTGATGGGCGGTGGGCATCTGGTGCGCGATGGGCGTCTGATGGGCGGTGGGCATCTGGTGCGCGATGGGCGTCTGATGGGCGGTGGGCATCTGGTGCGCGATGGGCGTCTGACGGGCGGCATGGCGGAAGGGCGGCATGATGGCGGCTCTCAATGCTCAACGCCAACCGACCGGCGCGGTCGCATGGAGGCCCTCATTGAGGTAGTGCTAGTACCACCGCGGGCTCTTGACACGTCTGGGAGCAAAGCGCCACGAATGAGAACTTGACACGTGGCCGAATGAGTGACATGTTGGCCGGCCTTCCCTCTCATCCTGCCACCCGCCTCCGATTGGGAACTAGCATGCATCATCCCCAACCAAATCCGCTCGCTGTGCGGGTGCCATGCGCCTAGTCACCTGCAACCTGCATTTGCATTGCACAGTTCTCTGACAGCCGTCTTCCTGCTCCCACTCAACCCACCCAGCCCAATCCGCCTGCAGGTGCGGGGCATGTGGACCGTGGTGATCTCATGGTTGAAGTGACCTGTATTGAATATTGCTGCTCTTCTTCCCACCCACTCACCCCCTCGACCCAACCCAACCGCGCGCAGGTGCTGGGCGTGTGGAAGGCGGCGAGTCACATGCTGAAGCACTTCAAGAAATGGCTGCAACCGCACAAGGTGCGCCCGGTGGCCGGGGAAGAGGGGGCTTGGGTCGGCGGGGATTGGGGCCTTGGATAGGGGGGGGAGGTGGGTGGGGAGAGGGGAGGGCATAGGGGTGGGGCATCCTTGGAGTGGGTGGGAGCGAGTGTTGCACTGACGCGCCTCAATGCGAGCTGACGCGCCTCAATGCGAGCTGACGCGCCTCAATGCGAGCTGACGTGCCTCAATGCGAGCTGACGCGCCTCAATGCGAGCTGACGTGCCTCAATGCGAGCTGACGTGCCTCAATGCGAGCTGACGTGCCTCAATGCGAGCTGACGTGCCTCAATGCGAGCTGACGTGCCTCAATGCGAGCTGACGTGCCTCAATGCGAGCTGACGTGACTGGTGGGCTGACCGGTCAAATGACGCAGCAGAGGAGTGGCTCTTTCCTCTCTTGTGACGCCTCCACGCGCGTCTGGTCGTTAACTCCCCCCCCCTCTCCCCTTTCCCCGCCACCAGGTGGGCACGCCGCTGTTGTTGAGGCCAGGGCGGTCAGAGGTGCTGTATGAGCCGCTGGGCGTGGTGCTCATCATCTCGCCCTCTGGAACTTCCCCTTTCGTACGTCCCCTCCCCACCGCTTCTCCTTACAACTTCTCCACCGCTTCTCCTTACAACTCCCCCCTATGGAGCACGTCGTGTAAATGTCATGTCATGGCACCTCGCTGCTGTTCACTGGGCGTGGTGCTCATCATCTCGCCCTCTGGAACTTCCCCTTCCGTACGTCCCTTTCCCACCCCCCTTTCTTCTGCCTTCTGTTCTTTTCTGGATTGCTCTGTTTTGGACCTCCAAGTCGTTTGACTTGGCACCGCTCAACTTTCTGTATCCGGTTCCTGTTCTTTCTGTGCATTCACTTCACAGCACTCCCAGCATTCTCCTTCTCCCTCCCTCTCCTCTCTTCTCCTCTCCATGTCTACCCCTCTCAGTGCTGTCTCTGGAGCCGCTAGTGGGAGTGCTAGAAGCGGGCAACGCAGCGGTGCTGAGGCCCTCAGAGGAGCTCTCATGGTGCCATCTCTCCTCTCCGCTCTATCTCGTGTGTGTTTCCATCTCTCAGTGCTGTCTCTGGAGCCGCTAGTGGGAGCGCTAGAAGCGGGCAACGCAGCGGTGCTGAGGCCCTCAGAGGAGCTCTCATGGTGCCATCTCTCCTCTCCGTTCTATCTCGTGTGTGTTTCCATCTCTCAGTGCTGTCTCTGGAGCCGCTAGTGGGAGCGCTAGAAGCGGGCAACGCAGCGGTGCTGAGGCCCTCAGAGGAGCTCTCATGGTGCCATCTCTCCTCTCCGCTCTATCTCGTGTGTGTTTCCATCTCTCAGTGCTGTCTCTGGAGCCGCTAGTGGGAGCGCTAGAAGCGGGCAACGCAGCGGTGCTGAGGCCCTCAGAGGAGCTCTCATGGTGCCATCTCTCCTCTCCGCTCTATCTCGTGTGTGTTTCCATCCCTCAGTGCTGTCTCTGGAGCCGCTAGTGGGGGCGCTAGCAGCGGGCAACGTGGCGGTGCTGAAGCCCTCAGAGCTCTCCCCCGCCTGCTCACACCTGCTCTCGCGCCTCCTCCCCCTCTACCTCGACTCGCACGCCGTTCAGGCAGGTGCTATCCACGCCAGGTGCTATCTCAGGCAGGTGCTATCCACGCCAGGTGCTATCTCAGGCAGGTGCTATCCACGCCAGGTGCTATCTCAGGCAGGTGCTATCCACGCCAGGTGCTATCTCAGGCAGGTGCTATCCACGCCAGGTGCTATCTCAGGCAGGTGCTATCCACGCCAGGTGCTATCTCAGGCAGGTGTTATCCACACCAGGTGCTATCTCAGGCAGGTGCTATCTGCGGCAGGTGCTATCTGCGGCAGGTGTCATTTGAGCCAAGTGTATTCGAGGAAGGTTCTTTGTGGTACAACAGCAGGCAGTATAATTCATGGTTACAAATGCCAAGTGTTACAGGTGCTGTTGTGGCGAACTCTCCCATTCCGTTTCGTGGAATCCCAAACCCTTAAGAACGTCCGCCTTGAACCTTCTCCCACACAGACCTAGTATTGAGGCGCCTCAAATCTAGACTTCTCACACGCGGTTTATATGTAGATAGGATTTCGTGGAATCCCATCCCACACCCTTACGAACGCCTGCAGTGCGCTCAGAGTGACACAAGGGGCGACGCGTGCACGTGCAGGCAGCAGCACATCCCTGCGGTTCGCTCTCATCCCCAACCCCCTTCTTCCCCACCCCCCTTCTTCCCCAACCCCCTTCTTCCCCAACCCCCTTCTTCCCCAACCCCCTTCTTCCCCAACCCCCTTCTTCCCCAACCCCCCCCACCCTTGCCGGTGTGGGAGGGGGCACAAGGGGAAGGGGGGCCAGGCACAGGCAGGGATTGGAACCGCCTCTGCACTGCACTCCACCCAACAGTCTTCACGCAGTCAAAGGCGGTCCAGGCAGAGGAAATCTAGACCGCCCCAAAAGCTCACCCTCGCTCTCTCTCTCTCTCCCCATGTGCTTCTACCCCCCGCCCTCCCTTCTTTCCTTGTTCTTTCCCCCCCTCTGCCCGTGCCCCTGCTGTGAAATCAGCAGGTGGTGGAAGGCGGCCCAGAGACAGGCAAGGCGCTGCTGGGGCGGCGGTGGGATAAAATCTTCTTTACAGGTGGCACGGCACTGGGGCGCATTGTGATGTAGGCGGCCAGTAAGCATTTGACACCTGTCACTCTGGAGCTGGGCGGCAAAAATCCACTGTTCATCGACGAGTCCGCTGACCTGGAGGTGTGTGCTGCCGACCTGGAGGTGTGTGCTGCCGACCTGGAGGTGTGTGCTGCCGACCTGGAGGTGTGTGCTGCCGACCTGGAGGTGTGTGCTGCTGACCTGGAGGTGTGTGCTGCCGACCTGGAGGTGTGTGCTGCTGACCTGGAGGTGTGTGCTGCCGACCTGGAGGTGTGTGCTGCTGACCTGGAGGTGTGTGCTGCCGACCTGGAGGTGTGTGCTGCCGACCTGGAGGTGTGTGCTGCTGACCTGGAGGTGTGTGCTGCTGACCTGGAGGTGTGTGCTGCCGACCTGGAGGTGTGTGCTGCCGACCTGGAGGTGTGTGCTGCTGACCTGGAGGTGTGTGCTGCCGACCTGGAGGTGTGTGCTGCTGACCTGGAGGTGTGTGCTGCCGACCTGGAGGTGTGTGCTGCTGACCTGGAGGTGTGTGCTGCTGACCTGGAGGTGTGTGCTACTGTCTCAAATGCAATGTGAATGCATGCCCCATGTCTCATGGCACATGCCACATGGTGGTGCATACCCCATGGCACATGCCACATGGTGGTGCATACCCCATGGCACATGCCACATGGTGGTGCATACCCCATGGCACATGCCACACGGCACATGCGACACCCCTTTTTCCCAAGCCTCCCACCCCTTCTCGCAATGTGCATGCATGTGACACATGCACCAATGCGTCACGCCCCTCACATGCACCAATGCGTCACGCCCCTCACATGCACCAATGCGTCACGCCCCTCACATGCACTCGTGAGTTCACCCAATGTACTGAATCCTTTGCAGGTGTGCTTCCTAAAATGCTCCACCCGTGCCCCATCCCATGCTCCATGCCCCATGCACCCCCCGTGCTTGATGCTTTGGGCCATGCCCATTGCCCCATGACCCATGCCCCATGCACCGTGCCCCATACCCCATGCGCCGTGCCCTATGCTCAGGTGTCAGCAAGGCGGATCGTATCGGGCAAGTGCACGAACGCGGGGCAGGTGTGCCTCCTGCCCGACTACATTCTCGCCTCCAAGGACGTTGCTGCGCGGCTGGTTCGTCTAGAGGAGGTTGAAAGAGGTGCAGAGCGGTAAGAGGGACGGAAGGGACCGCAGGTGTGCCTCCTGCCCGACTACATTCTGGCGTCCAAGGACGTTGCTGCGCGGCTGGTGAGAGGGGGAGACGGGGCGAAAGGGCAGGGATTGGGGCGAGGCGAAGGGCGCAGGTGTGTGGGAAAGGGAAGTAGGATAAAATGAGGCAGGTGTGCCTGGAGCCAGACTATATCCGCGCCACCAAGGACGTGGCTACTGGTGCGTCTGGGGGCCGGTATAAGGGGGTTGTGAGAGGGGCAGAGCGGTAAGAGGAATGGAAGGTATGGGCAGGTGTGCCTTGTGCCCGACTATAGACTGGTGCGCGGGGGAGAAGGGGCAGAATAGGGGCGGAAGGTGCAGAGATAGGGAGAAAAAGGTATTGGGGCACGGGAATGCGGGAAAAAGGGGAGGGCAGGTGTTCCTGGAGCCTTTCTATTGCAACTCCGCTCTCTGCCCACCTCGCTCCTGTTCTTTGAATCTCCTCTCTCGTGTCTTCTCTCTGCCCTCTCTCCTCTCTCGCGCCCCCCCACAGCTGCCCCATCTGAAGGCAGCCGTGGAGCAGTTTTACGGCAGCAACCCCGCTGGGTGCCCTGACCTCGCCCGCATCATCAACACCTCCCACCTGCTCCGCCTGCAGAGGCTTCTCGACCATCCTGCTACCGCCTCCTGTGTCGTGCACGGGGGGCAGAGCGATGTGGAATCGAGGTGAGTCAGTGTGAGTCAACGCAGGCCAACTGAGTCAGGGAGAGTCCACACAGGTGACCATTAGCCTCCCACCTGCGGAAGCTTCTGGAGTACCCTGCCACAGCTTCTGGAGTACCCTGCCACAGCTTCTGGAGTACCCTGCCTGCCACTTCCTCCTGTGCCGTCCGCAGGGGCCAGAGAGATGTGGAATGGAATCGAGGTGTTTCAAGGTGATTCAAGGTGATTCAAGGTGTTTCAAGGTGATTCAAGGTGATTCAAGGTGATTCAAGGTGATTCAAGGTGATTCAAGGTGATTCAAGGTGATTCAAGGTGATTCAAGGTGATTCAAGGTGATTCAAGGTGATTCAAGGTGATTCAAGGTGATTCAAGGTGATTCAAGGTGATTCAAGGTGATTCAAGGTAATTCAAGGTAATTCAAGGTGATTCAAGGTGATAGCAAAAAAAAAGCAAAGTAGAACAAAAAAAAAAAACCATTTTAAAAACACCACCCTATTTTGATAGCCAACCCAATTGTTCGTTTACCCTGATAACTCCTCTCCTCTTCAATTCTCCTCGGCACACCCACCCTCCCCCCCCCCTTCACCCACCCTGCTTAATCTCCCACATCCCCCCCTCCCCCCCAGCACCAGATTCTTTGCCACAACGCTGCTGCTCAACATGCCCTGGGATGCCCCTTCTTGATCTGACCGAGAGACAAGTTTTCCACCTCCCCCCCGCAACCATGCCTCCCCCCTCCTCTCCCCCCCCTCTCTCCTCCCCACTAGGTACTTTGCCCCAACGCTGCTGCTCAACGTGCCCTGGGATGCCCCCATCATGCAGTCCGAGATCTTTGGGCCCATCCTGGCCATCCAAACAGTAAGATCCCTCATCCTAGCCGTCTATTCTCCCTACCTCCTCGTTCCCCACAGTCTCAACCTGAAAGCCCCAATATCTCTGGCTCCACTCCCCGCTGCCGCTCCCCTCACCCGTTCCCATACATTCACGACATCTCACCTATTTCCATCTACGCGTGTCATATGCACTCATGCAGACACATCATCAGTACCCATGTCGTGTCACCTGCACGGCTTTTTCTCTCCCTATACAGCACTGCTATCCCCCTCTTTATCGCCCCCATCAGCTGTCAGGAATCGACGAGCCCATCAGCATCATCAACGTGCCCCAATGATAGTCGTTTTCGGTCTCCCCATGTGCCTTCTCTGCCCTTCTTCTCCCCCCTCCCTCACCCCCATCAGGTGTGAGGAATCCACGAGGATGACTCAAGCCTCATCAATGCGCGGGCTCCAAGCATCTCAACCCCCATCCCAATGATCTTCCGCCCGCCCATGTGCGTTCTCTGTGCTTTCATCGTCAGGTGTCAGGAGTGGACGAGGCCATTGGAATCGTCAACGCGCGCCCCAAGCCGCTCGTGGTGATAATCTTCACGTCCCGGGAGGACGTGCGGCAGCGCTTCCTCAAGGAGAGCAGCTCGGGGGCTGTCGTGGCCAATGAGCTCATCCTGCAGGTGTGGGAGAGGGGAGAGGGTTCTGGGGGGGAAGGGGGAGAAAGAGAGGCATTGGGTTAGTGAGTATGATCACCTTCCGAGAGGACGTGCGGCAGCGCTTCCTCAAGGAGAGCAGCTCGGGGGCTGTGGTTGGCAACGAGCTCATCCTGCAGGTGCGGCAGGGGGGAGAGGGTTCTGGGGGAAGGGAGGAAAGGAGTGGGAGGGAAAGCGATAATCATGCGGTTAGTGAGTGTGCTTTGACCCGAGGGCGTGCGAAACCGTTTCATCAGAGAGAGGATTCGGGTGCTGTGGTGTCGAACGAATTCATCCTGCAGGTGTCGAAGGGGGAGAAGAGAGGGGTAGGGACGAGGGGAATGGGGAGCGAGGAGGGGCAGGGAGAAGAAAGAGGGTGGTAGTAAGTCTGTCCTCAGAACGAGAGTGTAAGAAGGGAAGCACCTGCGGCATCTGAGGAAGGTGCAGCCGGGGCAGGGAATATAGAGGGCATCAATACCCGCCGGGGCAGGGAATGTAGAGCGACATACCTGCGGGAAGTGCCACCCCCTTCTCGTGCTCATGAATGAATCTTCTCTCCTTCTCACCCATCTCGCTCTTCTTCCCTCTTCCATCTCTCCATTCTTCACCCCCACAGGTCTGCAACATGGAGTGCCGTTTGGTGGTGTGAGAGACAGCGGCACGGGGCAGTAGTAGGGGAGGTACTCAGTCCACCTTCCCATGAACCCCATTTCTCTTCATCACCATCCACTACTCCCCCCACCTCACTTTCTTCCGTCTCCCAGGCAGTCAATATGGAGCTCCCATTCGGCGGAGTAGGAGAGAGTGGCACGGGGCGGTACAAGGGGCGCTACTCAATCGAATGCTTCAGCAACTGCAAGGCAGTCTACACCAGGCCCCTCTCCGGAGGGGAGGGGGGGTGGTTGTGAAGGCGGCGGTGATTGAAGTGGGGTACTGGACGCTGCTACTGTTGTTGCTCGGGCTTGCAAAGTGCCAGTGCTGGTGCAGGGCTGTTATGTTAGGTGTGACTGCTGCCAGATGATGGGTTCCCCCGTAGCATGAGGCAAGAGGAGATAATTGGCAAGGCTGTGATCAAAGGGGCGTATTGGACGCTGATGATGCTGCCCTTGCTGGGGCTGAAGTGTCAAATATAAAAATTATACATATATTTATAAAGTGGCTTAGCTAAGTTGTAGCGTAATGTACCGTATCACCCCGGATATAAGCGCCGGCGCTTCTATCTGGAGCCATGCGCTTATGGCGGTAACTCGATCTGAAGCGCACCCCTTGTGATTCCAGTACTTATTATGAGCGCATCCCTATAGTACAGTCTGATTTTTTTCCTTTTAATATGATTTTTTTCTCTAAACATTCTACGTTCAAGGTTAAAGCCCGAGTCTAGAATGGCTAACTTTCATATTTACTGAAGTTGAAGTTAGGTTTGCGAAGGATGGCGAGAGTAAAATTCGCAGAACAAGTGTGGCGAAGGGTAGAAGCGGGAAGTACAACCCAACCCAGCTTTCGAGCTCAAGAAGCAAGGCTGGCTGCAGAAAGGACAAAAATGCCACAATTTGCCAGAAGCTGAGATGCCTCGAGGGATTCAGGAATGTTGACAATGCTGTTACGTAAAGGTTTTCAACATATATACCGGTAAGACCGATTTAGAAACGTGTAACAAATGGTTTAGGGTAAATGAAAAATAAAGCCTTGAGATGGGCGATTGGCTGGCTGTTACGGGTGCAATGAATCGAAGTAGCGAGAATTGCACTAAGGTGTCAAACGAGTACAAAATGTGAGCGAAGGCATGAGCGAACATCTATATGCGAAACATGGAAACGGTAACGCGGCGCGTGCGAGCTACCTAGTGCTACGCTAGAAGCGAGGCTCGGGCTAGTCCCGAAGCGTAGGCCGACACGGCCAGGCCAGCAGTGCGAGGTTTGGTGAAACAGTGCGCGCGAAGTCGGCGAAGCCCCGTTAGCAGTAACGGGCGAACAACGGCTGTTGCTGTACGCGATGTTGTCGGGCTCCGTAAGGAATGCCGAGAAAATTCCTTACACTACCCCCCCCCTCAAGAAGCCCCCTCCGCTACGCGAGTGCGTGTATATCGCGGAATCCTCGGCTCCTCAGGTACACTTGCAGGGCAGGGCGGTTTTCGATGTTGGCCAGGGGCACCCAGCTGTCCTCAGTTGGCGTGCGATCCTTCCAGCGAACGAGGAATTCAATCCTCTTGATTCCCGTGGGGTGTCGAATCCGATGGCTCAGGATTTTTTCGGGCTCGATGATCGGCTCCGATGCAGGGCGAGTCATGGATGGCGGGCGGTGACGAGGCAGTTGGCTTGTGGTTGGGATGTATGGGCGAAGCAAGCTGACGTGGAACGAAGGGCTGATGTACCAGTCGGTCGGTAACAGTAGATGCGCGGTTACTGGCGTGATCATGTGGCTGATTTGGAATGGGCCACAGTAGCGCGGTCGAAGTTTTGGTACATCGGGCAGTCGCAGATTTTGCGTGTCGAGCAGTACGTAATCCCCTGACTGGTATGTGATTGGGCGGCGGTGGCGGTCAGCGTTGCGCTTAGCGATGACGTTTGCTTTTTTTATTGCTTCTGCGGCTCTGGTGCGGGCAGCTTGCAGAATTTCGGCGAATTGCTGTGCGCGTGGTGTTGGGTTGTCCGGACTCGGCGTCATGGGCACTGTAGGATTTTGCCCGTAGTTCAGGTAGAAGGGGGACTGCTGCGTCGTCGCTGACGTGGCATTATTGTACGCGAACTCGATCAGCGGCAGTTGCTGCTCCCAGGTCGTGGGGTCGTCGCACGTGGCACGAATCAACTGCTCCATCGTCTGATTCGTCCCCTCCGTTTGACCGTCGGTCTCGGGGTGGTACGACGAACTGAACTGTAGCCTGGTTCCGAACTGCTCCCAGAGGTTCTTCCAGAAGTTGCTGGTGAACTTCGTGTCCCTGTCGCTGATAATCGCTGCTGGTATCCCGTGCAGGCGAACAACGGCTGCGATGAACAGACGGGCGGTCTCCTCGGCTGAGATCGACTTTTTGCACGCAGCGAAGTGTGCCATCTTCGTCAACCTGTCAACGACGACCATCACCGCGTCGTTACCCCCAGGGTTCGAAGGTAACCCTGTGACGAAGTCCATGGTAACCTGCTGCCAGGCGCGCTCGGGCGGTGGTATCGGCTGCAATTGACCCGCCTTCCGCTTCCTTGAGCTCTTCATCACCTGACACGTGGGGCACGAGCCCACGTGCTGCTGCACGTCGGTCAACAGCTCCGGCCAGTAGTAATACCGCTGCAGTTGCTGTCGCGTTTTTTCTACCCCAAAATGTCCCGAGGTAATTCCGTCGTGTGCCTCCTGCAGTAGCAGCTCCCTCAGTAGTGAGTACGCGGGTACCCAGATGCGGTTGGTGCCTGTTTTTACGTAATAAACTCCTTTAGCTTCTGCCAATTGCTGTGAATTTCCGGTCGTGAAAAATGGGTCGGTGCGATATCCGTGGGTGAATAGGCCTGTTAAAAGCGGGTTGGTCTGGGCGAGTAGGATGGCGTGGAGTTGGGCGGTAGGGCGGGTGAGTGCGTCGGCGATGTTGGATGCGCCTTTCTTGTACGTAACCGTGTAGTGGAAGTTGGACTTGAGGTAGTCCAACCAGCGAATCAGTCGTGGATTGAGATTCGGTTGGGCGCGTAAGTACTGTAGTGATCGGTGGTCTGTCCGTACTGTCACGTCGGCGCCAGTCAGGTAACACCGCCAAACCTTGAACGCGTGCACGATCGCCAACATTTCGCGGTCGTGTATCGGGTAATTGCGTTCGGGCGGGTGCAGCTTGCGGGACTCGTACGCGATTGGCTGGAGGCCGTTCCCGAAATCCTGCAACAGTACTGCTCCCACAGCGATGTCACTTGCGTCAGTGACGAGCTCGAACGGACGGTGTGGATCTGCGATGTGAAGCACGGGCGGTGAGCACAAAATGTTTTTGAGGGCCGAGAAGGCAGCTTGCTCTTTCTCCCCCCACGTGTACTCAACCCCCTTCCTCAGCAGGTCAGTCAACGGGGCAGTCAGCTTCGCCATGTCGGGGACGAACCGGCGCACGTAGTTGACGAACCCCAAAAAACTCTGCAGCTCGGTCAAGTTGGTCGGCGCGTGCCATGCTTGAATCGTCGCAATTTTCTTCGGGTCTATTTCCACTCCTGCAGCTGAAATAACGTGTCCCAAAAACTCCAGGCGGTCCTGTAAAAACTCACACTTAGACACTTTTGTCAGTAGGCGGTTCTCACTCAGTATCTTAAAAACTGCTTCGATGTCCTGTAAGTGCTGTGCTTTGTCAGGGCTGTAAATCAGGATGTCGTCCAGGTATACTATGACGCACTTATCTAAGAGCGGGCGGAAAGCTTCGTTCATGGTCATTTGAAAGGTGGCGGGGGCGTTGGTCAGTCCGAAAGGCATGACGGTGTATTCGAAGGATCCGTAGCGTGTGCGAAATGCGGTCTTAGGGCAGTCGGGCGGGTTGACGCGAATCTGGTGGTAACCCCCTCGGAGGTCAATTTTCGAGAAAACCCGGGCTGTGCGCAGTTGGTCGTTTAGTTCGTCGGCTCGCGGGATGGGGTAACGGGATTTGATGGTAACCCTGTTCAGTGCTCGGTAGTCTATGCACATGCGAAATCCCCCGTCTTTTTTCGGTGTGAACAGTATCGGTGCTGCGAAAGGCGACGAACTAGGGCGAATGAATTCCTTCTCGAGGAGGTAATCGAGCTGCTTCCTCAGTTCGTCCAGTTCGGGCTGGGTCAGTCGGAACTGTCGCTGTACTGTTGGCTGTGCCCCCGGTTCTAACTCTATCCTGTGGTCGTGCGGTCGCTGATGTGGCAGTCCCGTCGGTAAATCGTCCGGGAAAATGTCGCTGTACTGCTTCAACAGTGCTGCCAGGTCACTCGGTACGTCGGCCAGCAGTTTTTGTAAATCCCCTCCTTTGTCTGCTGCCTCGGCTTCCCGAATGTCGACCGCGTACACGTCAGCTCCTGCCACTACGGCGCGTTTCATCGTGATCGCGTTGACACGCACCGATGAATACTCAGGCGAGCCCCAGCGAGGTAGGGCAATGTTGTTACCGTTCACCCGCACGGTGCAGTCACCTGTCGTCCAGTCGATTCGCGGATTGTGTCGTCGCAGCCAATCACGCCCGAGTAAAATATCGGTTCCGTCGAGGGTCGTTGCGAGCATTTCCTGGCTAAACGTGAAGTTACCCCCCCATCGAATCCGAACCCGATCTACGCGTTCCCGTATCGCCAGTGGCGTGCCGTCTACCAGTCGTGTGTCGATCTCAGGTAAACATTTGTCCAGTGGCAGTCGCAGTTTTCGTGCTGTAGCGGTGTTGATGAGGCTGTGGCTGGCTCCCCCGTCTACGAAGATTTTAACTAAGTCCGTCCCGATTTTCCCACTAAGCAGTATGGGGCTGTCTACCGTAGTCCCCTCCTTATTCGGTCGAGTGTGGTCGATTGCGTGAACCGGCACAATCACTCGGTGAGGGTCGGTTGGGTCGGGCGAGCGGCGTGACCTGTCAGTAGAGGGCCCGTCTGCTACTGACTCCCAGCGTTTCCCTGCTGCTTGGTCTGTTTCTGCTGCTCAGCTTCCCCCTTTCCCTTAGCGTTTTCCGGGCATTCGCTCTTGCGATGTCCCGGCCGATTGCACGCAAAGCAGCGCCCTTTGAACGGTGCGGCAGCGGCATTTGCGGCGACGGCACGTATCGTGGCGCCCTCGTTCGTCCCACGAGGCCGATGTCCCCAATGGCTGCTTCCGTAGGACCCCGGTCTCGGTCGGCGGAAGAAATCAAGTTTCTCCGCCATAGCGAGAATTTCTTGAAAGTCGGTGACGCCGCGAAGCTGGATTTCCTGAGCGATGTCCTGCTTCAGGCCGCCGATGTAGCGGTCGATGCGCTCGCTCTCGTGCATATATCCCACCTGCTCGCATAGCGCCAGAAATCCGCTCGTGTAATCTTGGACGGAACCGAGTTGGCGCCAAGTGCGGAGCTTCTGTCGCGCCGCGATCGAAGCTGCGATTGGCTCGAAACGAGCGCGTAGACCTGCGCACCACGCGTCCCACGTGCGATACTGGGGCACCTCCACGAAATACGACGGCGCCCAGGGTCCGGTTTGTCCTTCCCGTGTCGGTAGAGTCGTGTAGTCGACCGGCTTCGTGACGATGACGCGCCACCAGTCCATGGCGGGTCCTCGCAGCAACGACACGGCGTAGCGAATTTTCGCCGTATCCTCCGAGACGTAGTTCGCGTCGAAGAAGACGTTCAACGTGAAGAGTCACGCTTGAACGGTAGGACCACCCCGCTGACTTGGGTCGCAGCATGGCGGACGCTGCGGCTTTAGCGGCATTGGCGACGGAAGAGTTGATTCGCCGGCCGGCACTGAAATCGTGACTCGAGGTTGAGTCCTGGCCGCATTCGTCGCGTCGGGGTGTGTCGTGCCGTGGTCGTCGTCTCCGTCATGGCGGACGACGCCATCACTTGCAGCACTCGCGTGTTGCCCCACACTTCCGTGCTGTGATGTCTGTGGTGCGGGCTGAATCGGAGTGCCAGGTGCTTGGGATTGTGCCCGTGTGAGGTTGTTTTGCATGGACGAGCGTTCTGCCGTCAGCGTCGCGATTTCCTCGGCGCTCTCGCGGATTTGTCGCAGCAGATTGTTCAAGTGCTCCTGCGTGAGAGTCGTGACGTCGATATGTTCAGCCATTTCGAAGGGCGTCGGCTCGTCTTAGTCTAGGCGCAGTCGTGGCTGCACGCGTTTACGAGAGAACGCGAGGACAGCGGCTCCTAGGTGCTAAGGTACGTGAGTCCCTTCGAGTGAAAAATCAAAAGTTGATTTCCTGGGGTGCGGAGATGCGCGGTCCGAAAGAAAGGGGCTCTGAATACCAAGTGTTACGGGTGCAATGAATCGAAGTAGCGAGAATTGCACTAAGGTGTCAAACGAGTACAAAATGTGAGCGAAGGCATGAGCGAACATTTATATGCGAAACATGCAAACGGTAACGCGGCGCGTGCGAGCTAGCTAGTGCTACGCTGGAAGCGAGGCTCGGGCTAGTCCCGAAGCGTAGGCCGACACGACCAGGCCAGCAGTGCAAGGTTTGGTGAAACAGTGCGCGCGAAGTCGGCGAAGCCCCGTTAGCAGTAACGGGCGAACAACGGCTGTTGCTGTGCGCGATGTAGTCGGGCTCCGTAAGGAATGCCGAGAAAATTCCTTACACTGGCATATACTTTATGCCAGCGAAAAAGGGGACATAAACCAAGCAGATGAGACAGTGTCAAGTCAGTTATTCCCCTAATGAAAAAATATATAATCCATCTCGTGCCCATTATCGCTCTTCCAGTTCACAACTGCGGAAGGAGAGTGGTGGCGCTGCACATCCTTTTCGTGAGGCGTAAGTCGGGCGCAACTTGAGAAGACCCTGGAATTAGAACAAGCGAGCGGATACGGGCAGCGAGAAGGAAAGGGTAGAGGGAAGAGAGGAGTGGGATATAAAGAGATGTGAAGGGCATGGAGTAGAGGACAGGGAAGCGAAGAGAGATGAAATGAGAAGAAAGCAAAGAGTGGGGGAGAACAAGGAGGAGAGGGTTCAGTGAGAGAAGGGCGGAGAGATGGCGGAAGAGAGGTGCGCGGGACAGAGGGAAGGGAGAGTAGGAGCAAAGGAAGGTGGGAGGAGGGGAGGTGGGAGGAGGGAAGATGTAAGTGGTATGTGCATGCGACGTGTGTGGGTGACGGGGAGGGGTGGGGTGTGGGAATAAGGGCGGAGATCAGAAGAACGGAAAAAACGAGTGATGAGAAGGAGGGGAGGGTAGGAGCAGTTAGGAATGGAGGAAAGGGAGGGAGGGGGAAGGTGGGAAACGGAGACAGGGAAAGAGAGAGAGAGGAACAAGGGGGGGAACGGAGGGAAAGGCAGGGGGATGTGGAGGGAGGGACAAGGTGGGAAACGGAGGGAAGGACACGGGAAAGGGGGGGAAGGGGCAAGAGGGGAAACGGAGGGAAGGACATGGGGAAAGAGAGAGGAGCGGAAAGGAGTGAGTGTGTGGAACGGGAGTGAATGTCACATGTAAGTGTGTGAGCAACAGGCCCGATGCAAGGCGGTTGCCCTGTGTGGACGGTGCCTTCATTCGAGCGATGGGGGGAGTGCGCGACGGATCGAGTGAGCGATGCGAATGAGGGACGGACGACGAGAACCGGAGAGGGAAAGGAGGGACGGGAGGGAAGAGAACGACAGGAGCGAATGCGGGACTGAAGCGAGTGGGGATGAGTGGGAGGGGAGGCAAGGCGAAGACAGGGAAGGGAAGGAGGTGGACAGAGAGGAAAGGGAAGAGAGGAGAGGAAAGGGAAGGGAGGAGAGGGGAGATGGGAACATGTGTGGGCAAGTCGTGTGTGACGCGTAGGGAAGGGGGAGCAGCACGTAGGGAAGGGGAGCAGGGCGTAGGGAAGGGGAGCAGCGCGCAGGGAAGGGGGGGCAGCGCGTAGGGAAGGGGGAACAGCGCGTAGGGAAGGGGGAACAGCGCGTACGGAAAGGGGAGCAGCGGTAGGGAAGGGGGAGCAGCGGTAGGGAAGGGGGAGCAGCGGTAGGGAAGGGGGAGCAGCGGTAGGGAAGGGGGAGCAGCGGTAGGAAAGGGGGAGCAGCGGTAGGGAAGGGGGAGCAGCGCGTAAGGAAAGGGTTGCATCGCGTAGGGAAGGGGGAGCATCGCGTAAGAAAGAGGGAGCATCGCGTCGGGAAGAGGGAGCATCGCGTAGGGAAAGGAAGAGGCAAGGGAGGAGAGGAGAAGAGAGGGACTGGAGGAGGGATGGGAGACGGACATGTGTGATTGAGTCGTGTATGGCGCGTGTGGGTGACATGTGCCTGCGACGTGTGTGGATGACGGGAGTGAGAGCGCGACGAGAGTGAGAGCGCGACGGGAGTGAGAGCGCGACGGGAGTGAGAGCGCGACGGGAGTGAGAGCGCGATGGGAGTGAAGGCGGAACAGGAGTGAGTGTGTGAGCGACGGGATTGAGTGAGCGATGGGAGTTAGTGAGCGACGGGAGTGTGTGAGCGACGGGTGTGAGTGGGCGATGGGAGTGAGTGAGCGACGGGTGTGAGTGAGTGACGGGATTGAGTGAGTGATATGTGCCTCCGGCGAGTGTGGATGACGGAAGCGGATGAGCGACAGCAGTCTGTGAACGACAAGATTGAGTGACGGACGGGATTGAGTGTGAGACGGGAGTGACTGTCGAGATGTCATAGCCGATTTCTATTGGCTATGCGAGTGTCGGCTAACGCGATATAACCGTCAGTGGCGACGAGTGATTCTAATGATGGCGATCAATCGAGGCGGCATTCTGTATTTGCTGTTGGCTACCAGATCGTACTTGCTATGTGCGGAAAAGTCGACGGGATGTTCCGTCTCTATGTGCTACTAAAGTCTTAGCATAGTACGGAGATGGGCGTAACTATGCTTGGCTAACGACGAGAACTAGGGCTATGGAGCCCACTATGCTACGAGTCTCGAGTTTCAAGTTTTGAAAATGTGAACAGTGATACTAGTTCTTGCGAGGCTCGTCGCTGTTTTTGCTGTGGAGCATTTGGCCAATCACCTTCTGGCCCACCAACTCCCTTCTTGGTGGGTCGCGAGGGAGAAGCTTTCTCAACCTGGTTACCCTGTTCTTGACGAACTCAAGTTCAAGAATCTTGAAGTTGAACCCTTACCATTCTAGACTCGGGCTTAAAGCCGGCGGCCCAAATTGTTCATGCTTTTAAAAGTTGACCAGAGGGAGTTTTTCTGGTGTGGGCTTTGGCGAGAGTTTCCGATTTCGTCTAGGTTCGTTTTTTTCGCGAGACCCAGCCAACCCTCGGTTTTCCCCCTGGTGAGTGAATCTGTCTTCGAAAGTCCCAAATTGCAAGTGCGTGACTTTCAAAAGCTTGGACACTCAACTTCGTCAAGTTTTAAAAACTTGACCCTCGCGGCCCGCAATTTGGGACGCGGGCTTTAATCTAAGCAGTTCTAACATTCTGATGATTGAATCTCACTTTTTAGATAGCAATGACTCTAGCTACTGCTTTGCATGTACAACTCTAGCAATTCTACCGTAAGCACAGCTACTCCTCTTCGTCTGACTCTGGCTCCGGGTAGTTGTTGCCCCAGAAGCCGTCGGCCGTGATGTCGTCGTCCACGTCCACTTCGTGCGACAGCTGGCCCCTCCTGTGCGCCATGGCGAGCTTGTCCTCGCTCCCGTCTAGCGCGTTGCTAATGCCGCATGTGAGGAACGCCTTCTTGATCAGATCGGCGGGGACTGCCTTCCATGCCCGGGAGATCCACCTAAGGACCACCTCTGGAGGGGGCTTTTTGAGGTTCCCTGCACCACATAACGATCAGAGGGGAGACTACCGGTAGCACAATACAGAGCCGGGAGGAATTTATGGCGTGAGGACGTTTAACAACTCAGGCCATACCTGCTTTTGTCGGCCTTTCCAAGCCTTCCTCCTCAAACCAGGTCTGGTACTGCTCGCGGACGGAGGCCTTGAAACTTTTGTTGACTGACACGTCGAGCGGTTGTACCTCCGATGTACAGCCTGCCGGGATGACTGCGGGGACGATGTTGAGCTCCGCAAGCTTCGCCTTCACCTCGTCCGTGAGATGCCCGCGGTACGAATCCAGAACGAGCATCGCGCTCTTCGCCTGCCTGCCGAACCGGGGCCTTATGAAAGGCTTGATACACCCGTCGAGCCACGTCAGAACGCCGTCGGCGTCCATCCAGCCGTTGTCTTGGCACGCCACCACCACATCTGCGCACGCAACAAAGGGTTGTAGTTAAATACCGATGGCGCAGGACAAACACAGAAAGGTAATTAGTCAAGGTTGTCTTACCCGGCGGGAAATCCCCCTTCGGGACCGTCTTGCGTTTGAAGAAGACCCATGGCTTCAGTTTCACACCGTCAGCTGTGCACGCCAGCATCACGGTAATGCGCTGCTTCTGGTAACCAGCGCTCCTGATGGGCACCGAGCGAACTCCCGTTTGCTCCACTGTGGTGGTGGCGGGCATCTCAAGCCACAGCGGCGTCTGGTCGGCGTTAATGATCCACGTCGTTTCGATTCCGCGCTCACGACGGTTGTTGCGGACGAACTCCTAGAACTTCGTGCACTACTCCGCGACATCTGTGACAGAGGTAAGAGGGGGGAAAAGGCGGTGAGGAAACAACGTCACATCTAACCGTGAAAAACATCTCATGGCGCATACGGAATGTGTTAAAAACGAACGGAGTCACTTACGTTCGGCAGTTTTCTGTGCTACCTTCGTCTTCATGCGGATGCTCAAATTCCAGCGCCGCCGAAACCGGTCCGACCACCTTTGACTACCCTTTCACTTGACGTCGGGGAAGAGAATCGCCATAAATTCCTTCGACCACTCTTGTAGACGACCGACGGAGACGGCGCATCCCTTACGCCGCCACTCCAGAAGCCTCGCATAGACCTTTCGCTCCATAGGTCTGTACCAAGACGCTCCGCCGCGACCGTGCATCCGCATCCGTGCGCCGTGAGCATCTTTCAGGGCGGCCGCCTCCTTCCACTGTGTCAAGCACTTCCGATGGATGCCGGACTCACGAGATAGAGAGCGCACGGAAACCGCCACCTCCAGCAGCGCGAGCCACTTCAATTTTTCCTGGGTTGTGTAACCCTTTCGCTTGTTCTGCGTCATCTTGTGCCTGGGAGAGGGGGGGCGGGCATCACGGTTCTGTGAAGAAGGGTGGGGACGCTTGCGGTTAGTCGGTGGATAAGACGGTATCGGCAAATTTTCAGGAAGGCCATCGCGCGACCAGTATTCGACGCCGTCGTCGTCGTCGTCGCCGCCCATGGCACCCTCAGGATACACATCTGCCTTGGTGCCCGCCTCGGTGCCCGCCCCGGTGCCAGCCTCTGTGCCGTCTCGTCGTCAGCCTCGGCGACCTTGTCGCCCTCCGCGCCCTCGCCATGCACATCGGCGTCAGCGCCCACGGCGGATTCATCCCACGCGCAGTCTTCGGGCTCGCCCCAGCGTGGTGCCGATGCGAGGGCCTCCGTGTACTCATCTTGAGGCTTGTCCCTGACAGGTTCTTCCAACCACTCGTTAAAGGTCCTAGGGAGATACGGGCAAAGCTGTAGCACGGGCCGGTTGCCCAAAGTTTCTAAACGAGGAGCAGGAGGAGCAGGAGGCGCGGGAGGCGACAGAGGAACGGGAGGATTAGGGGGAGCAGGAGGCGCAGGAGGCTGTGGTGGGTCTGGAGGCAGTGGTGGGGCACGGCAGTACCATCCGTCAGCGGTAACGGTAAACGCGGGCTTACTAGGCTTCTTCTTGAAGAGAAAATGAGTGCTAGTGAATTCCGCCATGGCTGAAGCAGACCTGCGGGAGAGACAGGAAAACTGAATCAGAACGAGCAAGAATGAGGAATGAAATGCACTTGGGAGAGACCCCTTCGCGTTGGCGCCTCGGGGTCCTCGTCGATGACCGACGGGAAACCCCCACCTAAACTCGTAGAGGAACATGTGTGGCGTGCACGACGCAGCGTTGCCATGGTAAATTCCACCACCTTCTAGTGGATTCGGCTGGAATTTGCCTGCATGGCAACGCATCCTGCTGTGATTGGACCGCACGGCAGGATTTGCGTCAGCGATGGCAGGAAAGTTTCCACCCCCTTCTAGAGGATTCGGGTGGAATCGACTGCCATGAGGCGCATGACAATGCGATTGGGCCGTACGGCAGGATGCGAGTCAGCAAAGGCAGGTGCGCAGCTTCTGGACGTGAATGTGTGGTGGGAAACCGAGTCGCGGTTGATTTCCCCTGAATTCCGTGCACGATCCCATGTGAACGAACGTTCGGCTGTGTTCACCTTAAGGAGAGCTTCGATTTGGTGCCTTTAGAAATTAATTTCATTTTCCCGTCTTATAAGCGCATGCGCTTATGCCCGTTACTCATTTACAAGCGCCCCCCCTAAAAAAAACTGATTTTATTATAAGCGCATATGCGCTACTATCCGGGGTAATACGGTAGTTACATCTGTTGGTGGTGCACTATTTTTCAGTGGCTTGTTATACGGAACTCATCTCTCCCTCACCAAGTAGGGATGACCCTCGACTCGATACACAACTACGGTACTCTCTTGCAGTTAAGTGCAGTCACCCCCACCCTCCTCGCACACTAATCTGCCCCGTGATTCCATATCCAATTCACGTTCATCAGCGCGGTCGGTTACGCGGCTGTGTACTCATTTTTTGGAGGCGGCATGGGGCGTGTGGGGAGGGGGGAGTGGAGTGGAGGTGGAGAGGAGGGTGGGTTGGGATGAAAGGGGATGGTGGTGGGGGAAGGGGAGAGAAGGGAGGTGGGATGGGGAGTGATGGGAAGGGGAAGGAGAGGGGGAGGGGAGGGGAGGTGGTGATTGCCACCAGACCAGACTGTCCTCTGGAATGGGGTGGGGACCAAGAGTTTTTTTGCCACATACGGTACAGTCCACTCGACTGGTTAAAGGTACGGTAACTTCATGCATATGGGGACGCGTGTCCCTGGGCTCAATTAATGTAACATGTCTTGTCTGCTGCTATGTGGAATTTTGAAGCGAGAACACAGATGATGCAGAACACCAGGCCAGCAGGATGTGAAATGCACCAGGTCCAAGCGCATACCGTAGTACCGTACCTTATTGCAGTCTATTGCACTGGCGGTGAACAAGTTCATGAACCGGTACGGTACCGTAACAAACACTCTGACAAAGCAAAACGCCACAAATAGCGACACTCGGACCACTGGGAGAACAATACCAAAACCACTGGCCACGCCCTGACCTGCTCTGCTCCTCCCCAATCACGCGGCCTACACCACTGGAGACGCTTCAAAGGCCTGGAGGTGCCAAGACATCATGCCTTTGAGACAGACGCTCCCCACACTGCTGGTGAACAACGAAGAAGGCTGACGGCCCCCCGGGGGAACCAACGTGTGTGTGTACGTGCCCTGATGCGCCTCCTTGGCCAACACCTTGACCGCCTCACTCGGTGTGCCATAGAAGTAACACAGCTCATAGCCCACGGAGCCAATAGCCACCACGTTGTGCTTGCGCCGCCAGTAATTCCATTGGAACACTGCAGGGACCCGGGCACGCGGGGCAGGGGAGAGGCGAGTGCATGGATAGGCTGGCACACAAGGGCACGGGCTCATGCAAACAAAAACCAGCGTGGCTTTTGAGTCGACTGAAAGGTCACCTACGTGGTGCAGCGGAGAGACGAGTGAACGGATAGGACAGTACACTATACAACGGCGCGGGTTTATGCACACGAAAACCACCGTGGGAAACGGGGTGGAGAGAGATGGGGCTTGGGGTTATATGGAGAAATGAGGTGGGAAAATGGATGGAGAGAGAGATTGGTGCTGGGGGTTATAGGGAGAAGCGAGGAGGAGAGGGGGTGGAGAGAGAAGGGGGGGAAAGGAGAGAGAAGGCAAGGGGGGTGAAGAGAGAAAGAGAGAGATCGAGAGAGAGGGAGGGGGGGAGGGGGGGGTTGGAGTGAAAAGGAGACAGGCGGCAGCAAAAGATTGAGCAGCAGGAGCAAGAGGAGCAGGAGCAGCAGCAGGAGAAGGAGCTGACCAGCTGTGTCACCATAGCTAAGACGGGGTGGGCGCCACGTCTTCACACTCGCATCCCAGCGCTTGAACCTCCACCCCACCACCACCGTCTTGGCATCCTGCCGGTACAGAGGGGAGGAGAGAGCACGAGAGAGAGCGCGAGAGAGAGCGCGAGAGAGAGCGCGAGAGAAGAGAATTTATAGCAGACTTAAAAGGCACCCACGTCTTCACAATGGAATCCCATCCCAGCACCGGAACCTCCACCCAACCACCACCGTTTCGGCGCCCTGCCGCTCACACCAGGGGAGGGAGCGAGAGAAGCAAGAGGGCATACGAATTGGCGATTTGTTAGCAATATCAAGAGCATAGGTTGGTGGGTTCACCGTGGGGTGGTGCATGGGGTTCCGCGTGGGTGGTGCATGGGGTTCCGCGTGGGTGTGGACGCGAAATAAGCAATTCTGAAACGGGCAAGTTGGGTGGCAGGAAAACGGAGCTCACTGTAAGGGAGGCAATGCGGATGGCGGTCCACGGAGTGTCCAGCGAACATGCCAGCACAACACCGCACAGCGCATCACCGCACAGCACAACACCGCACAGCACAGCACAACACCACACAGCACAACACCGCACAGCACGACACCACACAGCACATTACCGCACAGCACAACACCACACGACACAACACCGCACAGCACAACACCGCACAGCACATCACCGCACAACACAGCACATCACCGCACAGCACATTACCTGCAAAGCACAACACCGCACAACACAACACCGCACAGCACATCACCGCACAGCACAACACCGCACACCACAACACGGTACAGCACAACACCGCACAGCACATCACACCACAGCACATCACTGCACAGCACATCACCGCAGAGCACAACACTGCACAGCACAACACCACACAGCACAACACCACACAACACATCACCGCACAGCACATCACCGCACACCATGTTGCTCAGGGCGCGGTGAGGGACGTGCTCAAGGTAAATGCTTGATACAGAATTGTAAGGTTCAAAGCCCTGCTCGCTGGTAGCATGCCGCTTACCTGCGAGGAGGAGCAGCAGCAGCAGCAGGATGGGGAGACGGATGGGGCTCAACTTTACGGACGCCATCAAACAGGCTTGGCAGTAGTAGGTCTGCAGTAGGCCTGGAGGTGGTTCCGGAGGCAGGTCCGGCAACGGCAGGTCTGGGATTAGTAGGTGGTGTGATCGCTTAAAAAGAGCCTCGGATCGGCGAGAAGCGGCGCCTCAAACGCAGCAGTGGGACCTGATTACATTTGTGGCGAGAGTAGAAGCTGTCTACGAAACTAGTGTGTAGAGCATCAGCTGCTTGCTTGCTTGCACCAGCCCTTTTGTACGGCTGGCGCGGGACGGGGTCGTCGGATGACAGCTTAAGCTGCGCGGCAACGTTCACCGGCAGGGAGTGAGCCGGGTTTGACGCCGGCATCGAGCATAAGAGAAATAGCCCATTGGTAACGACGACCAAGTGCGAAACCCGGGAGAGAGGCTCGGCCTGGAGTGATGCCCGGCCCGGGGAGCAATGTCATAAAACGTGGCGGCCGCCGCCAAGGAATAGTCTGCCTCGCCCCTTAGCACGTCCTGACCAGACACGTGTTCGTACGGCACACCCTCCCCGCCCCGTAAGACTCACAGCATGCATCAGCCGTGCGCAACCCGCAGCCCGTTAGCGCACGCACGCAGCCGCGCAGGCGCTTCCGCCCGCACGCAACCGCGCGCATGCCACTGCGCACACCCTGCTGTCTGCGCACTCCCAGCTGCCTGCGAGTGCAGCCTGTCCCAGCCCTAGCCCGTCGCGCCTGCATCCCTGCTCTCACAGCGGCCACTTGCACAGCGCCAACAGCACATGCGCCTGTCGGCGCACTAGAACCTGCTCTCCAACTCGTCTCGCACCCACGCCCGTTGCCCCATACGTACCTACTGCCATCGGCGTTCCCCGCGGCGGCTGGCAGAAACAGTTGCCCTTCTTATGGTAGATTAGGGTCAGTACATCTTTGTGTCTCGCATCTCTAGACTAGCCTCTCTGGCTCTCCTCGCCGCTTGCTCCAACCATTCCTAGGCTCGCCCCCCCCCGGCTTTGCTCGTCTTGTGCTTCGTTCGTTCGCAGCTCGTTGCTCCCAGTCTCGTCGAACACTAGGCATGACAGTCCCACGCCCTCTACTTTTCGATGCGGAGGGTAGGGCACTAGAGTTCCCCACCTAGCTCCTCCGCACAGAGTTGTACCTACATTTGCCAATGCTAGGATGGCAACACGTTCTGGGCGCAGGTCTCTGGTGACCTGCGTTCGCCTCCTCGCCTTCGTGACCTGCCTGCGGAGCCTACATTGCCCACATTGCCCTGTCGGTGTGGTAGTCTCGTGACACTGCAACTCGTATCGCCCTCGGCAACCTTCTCCCCAAATCTGAGGAGGCACACTTCAGCCAGGTTCGATCTGCCCATCCCTCTTTCGCTGTGATTAAGACCCGTTACTCCACTCCCTCCTCCGCCTCGCTCGGTCGCCTCTTCATGTTGTTACTGTTTCTCGAACTCGGAACGTTTGCATGCACACGTGACCTTATCACCCACCTGTGCTCGCCTGACTCTAGTTTCCGTGCTTCTTACATTGAGGCTGAGCTTGCAATCCCCCCAGTGCCAATGCCTATCATTATTCACTTCATAGCCTTTTGCCTCCCTGACCGCCTTACACTTGTACGAGGCGTGCTTCTCCGGAAGCACCCAACTATGCTCACTATCGACGTCCTTGAGTCAGCACCCAAGGAGATCGAGAGCAACAAACGCTCCGTTGCCGCTGCTTCTAGCGCCGTAGTTCCCCCGGTATTTCAGGAATATACTGTTCCACAGCTCCCCACCTTTATTGTTTTTCTTGCATGTACTGTGTCTCCTGCTTTTGACGAGACTGCAGTCGTGTCCGTTGCCGGGGGCAAGGGAGGTAAGAAAGGGAGAAGGGGTGGTGGCGTCGGTGGTGGCAGAGGGTGTGATGTAGGGGGTCGCGGAGGTGGGGTCAATACTAGCGCGTCGAATGGAGGTGGTACTGATGGTGGCGTTGGGCCTGTGGGCCTAACTCGAGGGGGTCCTGGAGCAGTTGTTTGGTGCGCGCGGCGGCAGCACAGCAACTGCAGGCCTAGCAGCAGCAGCCACACCAGGGACCGCAGCAGCAGTAGGGACAGCCGCAGCCGCAGGGACAGCCGCAACAGCAGGTTCCACGGCAGGTACAGCAGCAGCCCCAGCAGTGGGGATCTGGTGGACCTGGGGGCGCTGGGCGTGGCAGTGGCTCGTCCACCTGGGTGTCCCGTGGTATTCCACCTTCATTGTGCCCATACCTTATCCAGACTGGGACACCTAGCGGTCACCCTAATGACCGCTTTTACCCTCATGGATGGTGCTTTGCGCAGCTCACGACCTGCCTTCGCGCAGAGTATGGTGATGGCCCCTTTTCGGACTGCGCCCTGCTGACTTGTTCTCTTGGTCCGTCGTTGTTTCAGATGCCTGCAGTATTTTTGTTTGGTGCGGTGCAATCTGCCTCTGTGATGTGTGCTGATGTGGAAGTGTTGTTGGATCTGTTTGCTCGCGTGCTGGTGTTCTATATTCTTGGCGTGTTTGTATAGGTGCTTGTTCTAACCTATGTGCTTATAAAGCTACTAGCCCATGTGCACCTTCGGCTGAGGCGTCGCTGTCTTTCATGCTGGACTCTGGTGCATCTAATGCTTCTTTCTCGACCACACGACTCTCAGTCTGCTCTTTGCTTCGATTACGATTGCAGTGGCTGATCCTATTTCAGGACCAGCAGTTGCACGCAGCTCTACCACCCTCCCTCTATCCGGCTGTTCCCTCTGATGTCCTCAATGGTTTTCACATCCCTCCGTTCTCCAAAAACTTGGTAGGTGTTGGATACCTTCAGGACCGCCACGTCAGCGTCTGTTTTTCCTCCAACTGAGCGTGATGGGACATGTCAGAGTTATATGACATAGCTACTGTAGGCTATAGTGGGGTAGCACATATGGGGTACAGTTGCCTAGGGTTTGCCTTTTGTACCCAACTTTCACTTAGTCATTTCATTCCTGTTTTCTTGATTCACATGGTATAGAGCGGGTTCCTACATGGGACCGTTCCTTCCTAAGGGCCCACCATAAGAATTTTTTTTTTTAGCTGCCCGCGCATATTGCGCCCTGCCCTAAATTTTTTTTTTTAGCGGCCCCTACGCTGCCCCTACGCGGCCCCTACGCCGCCTCCCACGCGCCCCCTATGCGGCCCCTGGCGACGCCCTGACGAGGCCCCTGCCGGCGCCCTATCGCGGCCCCTGACGCGCCCCCTGGTGGCGCCCTGACGCGGCCCTGACGCGGCCTGACGCGGCCCCTGGCGGCGCCCTGACGCGGCCCCTGCCGCGGCCCTGACGCGGCCCTGCCGCGGCCCCTGACGCGGCCCTGACGCGGCCTGCCGCGGCCCCTGCCGCGGCCCTGAAGCGGCCCCTGACGCGGCCCTGACGCGGCTCTGCCGCGGCCCTGACGCGGCCCTGACGCGGCCCTGCCGCGGCCCCTGGCGGCGCCCTGACGCGGCCCCTGACGCGGCGCCCTGACGCGGCCCCTGCCGCGGCCCTGACGCGGCCCTGCCGCGGCCCCTGACGCGGCCCCTGACGCGGCCCTGACGCGGCCTGCTGCGGCCCCTGCCGCGGCCCTGAAGCGGCCCCTGACGCGGCCCTGACGCGGCCCTGACACGGCCCCTGACGCGGCCCCTGCCGTGGCCCCTTACGCGGCCCTGACGCGGCCCTGCCGCGGCCCCTGGCGGCGCCCTGACGCGGCCCCTGACGCGGCGCCCTGACGCGGCCCTGCCGCGGCCCCTGACGCGGCCCCTGCCGCGGCCCCTGACGCGGCCCCTGACGCGGCCCCACCACCTACCTTTCCGGCCACGCCGCCTCCTCTCAGCGGCCCCGCCGCCTCCTCCAAGCGGCCCCGGACGCCGCCCTCTCAGCGGCCCCGCCGAGCCGCCCAGCAGCCTAGCCGCCCAGCAGCCGAGCCGCCGAGCCGCCCAGCAGCCGAGCCGCCCAGCAGCAGAGCCGCCGAGCCGCCCAGCAGCCGAGCCGCTGAGCCGCCCAGCCGCCGAGCCGCCCAGCAGCCGAGCCGCCCAGCAGCCGAGTCGCCGAGCCGCCCTGCAGCCGAGCCGCCCGAGCCGCCCTGTCCGGTAAGAGCAGCGCCTCTCTCACAGCACTGCCCTCACCCCACTGTTTGCACTGCTAGTCTACTGCTGTCATGGCTACCCCTAGTGTCCTCGCTTTTGACGCTGAGGGTCGGGCCATTGACTTTGACGTCTGGATAGATGACCTGCAGCTTTTCTTACAGTGCGATAGGGCAGACGGCCTCTCCCTCTTTGACCTCACTTCTGGTGCCTCTCCTGCCCCCGCCACTGATGCTGACGCAACTGTTCGCTCCCAGTGGGCCACGCGCGATGCTGCTGCACGTCTTGCTGTGCGTCGCCACCTGCCTACCTCTGAGCGTGCGCACTTTAGCCAGTACAAGAGTGCTCAGACCTTGTACGACACTGTAGTTGCACGCTACTCCTCCCCTGCCATTGCTGCACTGAGTCGCCTCATGCTACCGTACCTCTTCCCTGACCTTGCTGCCTTTCCCACAGTCGCTGACCTCATTACGCACCTACGCACTAGTGACACTCGCTACCGCGCTGCGCTTCCTGCTGAGTTCTGCGCCAAGAACCCCCCCCCCATGTACATCACCCTCTACTACATAGTCACCCGGCTCCCTGACTCCCTTCGCGTAGTCAGGGACCACTTCCTCTCAGTTTGCCCCACCACTCTCACCGTTGACCTCCTCGAGAAGTCCCTCCTAGCAGCAGAGAAGAGCATAGTAGCTGTAGGAGCCTCTCGTGGTGACCCTCGCACCCCCATCTTTGAGGGGTGTTCCCCCTCCCCCCTTTTGCCCTCTGTTGCCTCTGCTGCTGCGGCCGACCTCGTTGGGCTTGAGTCGGTCGGTGCGGCGTCTACCCCTAGCGGGAGACGCCGCCCTGGCAAGGGCAAGGGGGGCAGGGGCGCTGGAGGAGCTAGCGGGGGCGGTGGAGGCGGCAGTGGAGGCGGTGGAGGAGGTGGGGGTGGCGGTGGGGGTGGTGGCGGGGGTGGAGGTGTCGGTGGCGGCGGTGGAGGCGGAGGCGGCAGCGGCAGTGGCGGAGGGAGCGGAGGTGGCGGCGGTGGAGGAGGAGGCGGCGGAGGAGGTGGAGCTGGTCGGGGTGGCGCTGCGCAGAGGGTCGGCTCCGGTGGTGGTCAGCGCCAGCAGCAGCAGCAGCAGCAGCAGCGCACTCGTGACATCCCCTCCCCTCAGCAGCTCCGTGAGTGGTACACTGCACGCCAGAGGGGTGGGGGTACTGGTCCGTGCACCTACGTCCTGCGCACCGGCGACCGCGCGGGTGAGCAGTGCGGGGGTGCGCACTCCACCCAGCGCTGCTTTGGCCGCCTGACGGACGCTTGGCATCACCAGTTCCCTGAGGCCACTGAGATCCCCCGCTGGGGTGAGCTGTCTAGGGCGGGTGTGGCTGTCTTTGACCTTGACTTTGATGCTATTCTTGCTGCCATGTATACTGTGACTATTAGTGATGAGGGTGACTGTTACCGGTGTTTTCCGCCCGACCCGGGCATTGAGCCTGCTGCTCTAGGTACTGGTGAGGCTGCTGCTCTAGGTGCTAGCGAGGCTGCTGCTCTAGGTGCGTCTGCTCCCTCAGGTGCTGGTGAGTCTGCTCTCTCAGGTTCTGCGTCGGCTTCGGCCTCCCACACCTTCACCCTTGACTCGGGGGCTTCTCGCTCCTTCTTTCGAGACCGCACCACACTCACGCCGCTTAGCCGGCCAGTTGCAGTCTCTCTGGCAGACCCCTCTGGGGGTCCTGTCCTTGCTCACTTCTCCACTGTCCTCCCGTGTCCGGCGGCCCCCT